GAGGGGGAAGGGTGAAATGGCCGTTGAGGTCATGAGAGATGAATGGCAGTGCCAACCTTATTGAGTGGTCATGGATCCAGACTGAATTGTTCAGGGCGATTTTGTGTTTATCTTCATCTGTGTGGACTGTGTAGGGGAGCAGGCAGAGCTGGATCTTAGCAGCTTTTCCAGGTGAGTGTGATGATGGGGGAGAGGGACAAGTCTGTAGAGGGAGAATAAATAACTTGACTGGTTTTTTAACTCATCCATCCATCTATCCGTCCATCCACTCAACCATCCATGTATTCAGCCACCTGTTTATCCATCCACCCATCTATCCATCCATCCATCTGCCACCTATTCATGTACCCACCCATCTGTCCATCCGCTCATCAATCCTGACTTCTGCCCATTTAGTCCCTCACCCATTTATCTATCCACCCACCCACCTTCTCATTTCTCCCCCCTCCATTCACCTACCCTCTCGTCCATCCATCATTCATGCACCCACCCATTCATTTGCCCATTTATCCATTCACCCACTCACCCTTCCACCCATCCATTCTTCCATCTATCTTTCATCCATCCTTCCACTCACCTACTCAACAACCCATTCATATTTTCATCCATTCATGTATCCAACTATCTACCCACCCATGCATCCACCCATCCACCCACTTATCCACCCTACCCATTTATGAGAGCATCCACCTGTCTATCCAACCACCCTCCCATTCATCCATCCACTCATTCACTCACTTATCCACCCTCATCCATCCATCTAGTCCATTCACCCATTCATCCACCCCTATCCTTCCATCCACCCATTTATTCATTCCCTCACTCACCCTTCCATTCATCCATCTATACGTTCACCCATCCACCCACCCATTCATCCACTAATTTCTGCATTTGTCCATCTACCCAGTCACTTTTCCATCCATTCACTTTTCCATCCATCCATTCACTCACCCACTCAGCAATCCATTCATCTTCCCTTCCACCTATCCATCTTCCCACCCATCCATCCATTTTTCCATCCACCTATCCACCTACCCTCTTCTCCATTCATTTACCCATCCATTCATTCTTCCACTCTCCCATCCATTCTTCTATCCATCCATTTATCCTTCCATCTACCCACCTGCTCACTTACCCATCAATTTACCCTCCTAGCCACCCATTTAACCTTCCCTCCCTCCATCCATCCACCCACTCATGTGCTTTGAGACTCTCTGAGTGCAAGAAGGAGCTATGTTGAACGCAGAGATACGGGGACAAAGGGTGAGTAAAGTGGCCCCCATTCTCTGGGAACTTACAATCCCCTGGGGAGCCAGACACTCTCACAAGCTGCCCCTAATGAAGTCACTTGAGACAATCCCCAAAGCCTGACTCCTCAGCTCACCCTCCCAGTCCCAGGCTGTCATCGACTCTGACCCAGGAGACTGGGAAGAAGAAAAAAAGGAAAGGGACACTGTCCCAAAGCGCTCTGTATGTTGGCACTCACATGCCCTCTCAGGATGGGCCGATACCCTCTACTTTTCCATCCACATCTGGTCCAGGGCTCTATGCTAGGGCTGCATGTCAGAATATCCAGGGAAACTGTGGTTGTAGGTCACCTCAGTGGCTTAGGGGTGAGGCCCAGGCATGGGCACTTTAAAGCTCTCCAGCTGACTGGGATGTGCGGCCAGGTGTGAAGGCCACTCGCAGGACCACCGCCACCTGCGGCACAGATGTGGAAGAGACACAGGGCAAAGGTGCTGCCAGTCATCTCAAGACCCACCGAGTCACACTGGCTTTTACTCTGCATTTTCTCTGTCACTCAACTGTGAAAGCCAGTGTGGAGGTGTAAACAGGTGGGTTTGGGAACCAGGCAACCTGTGTTGCTAGCCCAGTTCTCCAGTCTAGCCTGGCAAGCCACTTAGCTTCTGCACTTATTTTATTTTACATTTATTTATTTATCCATTTATTCATTTTGAGTCGGGGTCTCACTCTGTTGCCCAGGCTGGAGTGTAGCAGCACAATCACGGCTTACTGCAGGCTCAACCTCCTGGGCTCAAGCGATCCTTCTGCCTCAACCTCCCAAGTAACTGGGACTATAGGCACACACCACCATGCCTGGCTAATTTTTTGGTTTCATTTTGTTTTGTAGAGATGAAGTCTCACTAAGTTGCCCAGGCTGGTCTTGAACCCCTGGCCTCAAGTGATCCTTTTACCTTGGCCTCCCAAAATCCTGGGATTACAGGCATGAGCCACCATGCCCAACCTGCACCTGTTTTATTAGCTGTGAAATGGGGAAGTGATAGTATCTACCTTGGAGTTGGAAGAGGATTAAATGAGTTAATGTCTGTAAAAGCAGGGAGCATGCTGGGCTCAATTATGCTGATTTTACTCCAGTATCAGAAGCATCCCTAAAATGTCCCCATCTCACAGGGGTCTCTTGCCCACCCCACCCTCCCTCTGCCACTCATTAGCTACTGGCTCCAGCCCTGCGGTACTGTGAGTGGGAATGATTGGCAGCTGCCACTCAGCCCCATATAGGACCCAGGAGGGGGTCCCTTTGGAGGCTTGGAGGTGGTGAAAAGGCAGCAGGTGGGATGGGAGCCCACCCCATCTCCACCCCAGAGAAGGTGAGGAAGAGGGGGGCTGGGAAGGTGGTGCACGTTGGTGGAGGCGCCAGTTGAGTATCAGGGAGACCTCCGGTCAATCAGGGAACTGATCTCCCCGGACTCTGCCAGGCCACTGACAGGGCCCCTCCTCACACCACGCCCCGCCCTTCTTCCCCTTCATTGCTCCTGTTTCCTGATCTTGGCTCTGGCCATCCCAGGTGCTAGCTGTTCCCTTGCTCCTTTCCTCTCTTTCTCCACCCTGCACCCCCCCTCCACACTGGACGAGGTCCCCAACACATATGCTAACAGGAGGCAACAGGGCATTGCCGGTCACTTTGGGACGTTAACCTTCCAGCGAGCATGTGTGCATGCACACGTGTGCCTTTCGCTCCTGGAGTCCAGGGGCTCACGTGCCACCCCGGTTTCAGAGGCTGCAGAGAAAGGGGAGGGGCTAGCTGGCTTTGCTGAGAGAGGGGAGGAGAAGAGAGAACTTCTACTCCATGGACTCACCGCCCAGCAAGTCCATCCTGGGGTGGGGGCACTGAGGCAGAACCCAGCAGAGGGGGCTTTGGGGAATGGGGGAGGGCTGGGCTGCCCAACTTCCACCCTCGTGGCCGGGCATACCCACCCTAGGTTCCTGGGCTCCTGGGAAGAGAGTTGGTGGCCTCAGACCTCCATTGGAAGGAGGAAGCACCCTGGCCTGAAGCAGCACACACAGCCTCGGGTCATCGCCCGTAAACACTTGTTGGGTAGATAAGGAGGACCTGAATAAAGGACACGGAAGAGCACAAGACCGAGCGTGTGCTCTGGAGCGAGTGCCCATGGGAGAAGAGGGACATGTGAGGTCGGCCCATGGGGAAGCACAGGGTGCATGATGGGCTCCTTGCCAGGAGAAGTGCATCCTTGGTACTTGGAGGTCCAGAGGCTGAGGGGAGGTCTGTAGTCGGGCAGAGAGGGAGTTTACAGGTTGGAAGGAAGCAGGAGAAAGACCGCTCTGCAAGGACAGCCACAGCCTCGTGCGTGCATCTAGTAGGCGCTCACTGACGTCACTGGTGTGAAGGAAACATGGCCAGGTGGAGAAGCACAGGTGAGAAGAGGCTGCTGGAGGTGGCAGCCACTTCGGGCTGGGCACTCTTCCGAGCAAACCCGCCTTCCATAAGGACACGGGTTCCAGGGGTGTCAGACCCGACCAAGTCTGCGCAGAGGTCCTAGCACTTGGGTGGGCAGTTCCAGGCAAAGATGGCATCTGTTCTTGCAGGTGATAGGGCCTCTCCCTCACCACAGACACATGCGGTGGCGGACGGGGGACAGGAGAGGCTGCAACCCCCTCCCCCTTTCACCTCTACCTAGACCACTCTCTGACACTATGAAAGACCCTAGCCCTCTTCTCTAGGGTGAAGATCTTTCTTTCCACCAGGGCTGCTCCTAGGTCAGGGGTTCTCATGAGCACCTAGATTGCAGGGGGAGGTTTGAAGTGGGGCCAAGAATCTGCATCACCAGCTAAGAAGCTCCCAGGTGATGCTGATGCTCTGGGCCCAGACATCCCACTTTGAAACCACTGCCCTTGAGCGTTGCTGGGGATCTGGCTTCTAGGAGCCCCTGGGAGTAGCTGGGAAAGCACTTCTTCCCTCCCGGGCAGCAGACCTTGGAGAGGGCAGGGAGGGCTCTTTGGAAGTTCGCCCCAGGGATCCCTGAGACAGAGGCTAGAGCCTTCCAGGCCCTGTTGATGCCTCATAGTAATGACCGTCGCTGGGGGAGGGAGTGCCAGGCTCTGCGTTCATCTCCATCCACTTACTCTAGCTCTCCAGTGAGAAAACCAAGGCTTAAAGACCTTGATGAGGTGGGAGGTAGGTGGGTTGGCTATCAAAGGGCAACGGGCAGTATCCTCACGCTGATGGAATGTCGGGGGTCTTGACTGGGTCATTGTCTATATCCCAGGGGTGATGGTGTTGGGGATGTCACCACTGGGGGACCCTGGGCAGAAGGTACATGGATTGTTCTGTGTTCTTGCAACTGCATGTGACGCTACAATTATCTCAAAATAAAATGATTAATGTTTTAAGATTAGGTGGGTTTTAAAAAACCTTAAGTTGTGTGCTCAGCTCTGACAGGTATGAGTAGGTGGGCTCAAACCCTGGGGTGTCTCACTCCAGACCTGGGCTCCCCCACACATCCCTGCCCAGCACCTCCTCCAGCTCTGAGCTGGTGCCAGTGCTGGGAAGCCCGCCCGCATTGGGAGCCCCTCATGCCAGGGAGCCTCCTGTGCAGGAGGCCTGGAAAAGGCTGTTAAAAATACTGCGTTCTTTCTACAGAGGCTTCTGGAAAACCCGCTCAGCAGAAAGGCGCCATTCCTCACAGGCTCTGGGAAGGGGACAAAGTTCTAACCAGGCCTTGCTCTCTCTCCCTCCACAGAGCGATCAGGACGCCACGGCTCCGCCTGAAGCGATGGCCCAGCCCTACCCCCCCGCCCAGTACCCCCCTCCGCCACAGAACGGCATCCCTGCCGAGTACGCCCCGCCCCCGCCTCACCCCACGCAGGACTACTCCGGCCAGACCCCGGTCCCCCCAGAGCACGGCATGACCCTGTACACACCAGCACAGACCCACCCCGAGCAGCCAGGCACCGAGGCCAGCACGCAGCCCATCGCCGGGACCCAGACAGTGCCGGTAAGGGGCCCCGTGACCCCAGGGGCTGCGGGGAGGAATCCCCACCTAGAAGAAGGGCAGCCCAGGAAGGCAGGAGGCAGGCCGGGTGGGGGGGCCCTGGGAGGGGTCTCTGTGTGTGCAAGGGCAGGTCTCAGGCGGGGCTCCGGGGCAGGGGTCCTCACGCCCCTTGAAGGAGCTCCCTGCCCCCTGCTTGTCCTCCAGCACCAGGGACCTGCAAGGACTGCCAGGCACCGAGGGGCGGGGCTGCCTGGCTTCCCCCTTGAGGCCAGCTCTCGCCTTGTCTGGGAGGTGGAAAGCCTGTCCTCGGCTGCCAGCGACCTGTTAATGGAAAGTGAGGGAGAAGGCCGAGGCCAGAGGCAGAGCGGGGCGGGGAGATGGCCCAGGGCCCTCCAGGCCCCATCTCGCTGGCTGTCTCGGGTTGCAGGCCCTCCTATCATTTCTAATCACTTGTAATCTACCTGCTTGGCTGGCCTCCAATCAGATAGCTTCAATTATGTGGTTGTAATGCAGTTCCCAGGCGAAAGTGCTGAGCCCTGCACTTCTCAGATTTCCTGAGAGCAGAGGGAGCTGGCAAGGAGTGGCCGGCCTGGGGTGGGCTCCCATGCGGAGACCAGGCCAAGACCGGCCTCCACCCCACCCCCCGGAGCCCCTACCCGCCCTGTCCCATCCCTTTCTCTGATCCTCTTCACTTTGTGCCTCGTGTGCCTCCCCCACCCCTGCTTTGGGACTTTGGGTTCATCCAACTGTCCCTGCTGGCTCTGTCCCAGGCGCTGGCTGGCGGGGGCTGGGCAGGAGGCCAGCCTTCGCTGTGCTGCCCAGAGGCACCACCCTGGCGGCCTCCCGACGGGCCCCCCTCCCAACCGCGCTCCCTCAGGGCTCCCCAATCCAACCTGGCTCCCAAGATGCTGTGTGGACCCAAATGGGGCCCTCTGCTCCGTGTGTGGGCAGGGACTGACACCAGCATTACCTAAACTTTCCATGGCGAGAGCCCACCTAGCTGACCCCTCGGCTGGACCTCACCCTCACCTGGTGCCCAGCAGTGCCCCTTCTCCCTGCTCAGAACACAGGCAGTCTGAGTCTGTTCCAAAGCCATCAGCCTCTTCCATTCCTCATCTCCTAAGCCAGAGAGATTCCCTCGGGATTCCTACAGCCGCAGCCACATATGAAAAAGGCCAGGCCCACCACGGAGTGGTAGAAGTAGGAGCCAAGCCTTACTGTCCGGGCTGCTGTGGTTCTGACATCAAACCCAAGACCTGCGTGTGCTCAGAAAAGAAAGAGGTGATCCTGGGTGTCAGAGCAGGATCACTAGAAATAAGTCACAGTGGAACATCTGGGTCTCTTTCAAACAGCTTCCAGTAGACAAGGCTTAACTGGTCAAATCTCTGACAGTCTCCTGTGAACAAAGCAGGGAGTCTCTCCTGGTGAGCCACAGGTGTTCGTCCTGGAGGAAAACATAGGAGACCAGATGGTCAGAGTCGCAGATGACACAAAATAGGGACAGCTGATAGCCAAGCAGCTACGATGAGCCCAGAGGCCTACTTGACAACAGGGGCCACCAGATGCACCCTACCAGGGCACACATAAAGCCCTCCTTCATTCAGCAGACGTTTTCTGGGCACCTACTGTATCCAGGCACTGAGTTAGCTCTGGGGAGAAGAAATGACCAGCACTGGCCTCTGATTTCCACCAATCGAGGACAGGAAAGCTGGAAGGGGAGGCCTGGCTTGTGTGAGAGTCCACCAGCCTTAGAGAGAGTCCTGGAGGAAGCAGCAGCTGCTGAAAAGGTCACTGCATCCAGAGAGTAGAAGACTCTAAGAGGGTGAGAGTCTCCCTGTCCAGGTCACCAACCCCGAGTGCCTCCCAAGGAAAGCACCTCCCAAGAAAAGTGCCTTGGCCAAGAACACCCTGAGCCCTGGGGATGAACAGACAGCCTTGACCTTCCTCTCTTTGGGCTGGGGATCTCAGGTCAAGGAGGTCAGGGTCATGGCTGCAGATCTTTCATCTGAGGACATGGAGGAGAGTGTTTTCCTCCATGACCTAGTATCCAGTGCAGGACTACAGGTTACTGTACCCACGGTCGCAAGAAGACCTTCAGGATACCCAGAGCTGTCCCCCAAAGACTTGGGCCACCTCTGGAGAGCAGGAGCTCTCTGACCTTGGAGTGTTCATTCAGATAGCATCTCCCCACATTGGAGGAGCTGGGAAGGGTGTTCTAAGGTTCCAGGATCATCTTCCTCCAGAGAGCCTGTCCGGCACTCATGGCCAAAGGTCGAAGAACTCCTTGCTGGCTCAGGTGTCCTGTGCTTATGGAGGGCTCTTTTGGCTCACTCGGCTCTCCTCTGGGCCCTGCCCAAGCAACCTGGCATTAGGTGTTAGGACGGAGAGGTACGGGGTAACAAGTGAGGTGGGCTCAGAGCTTTGGTCCAGACCTGCCCAGGGTGTCCCCTTGAGTTCCTGGGACATTCAAGGGCCCGTGTGCAGCCAGCCACCAAGTCCTCTGATCTCTTCTTTATCCATCACCTATGAAGTCCCTCCCCCAGGGACTGCTCCCTCCTGCTGCCCAGGTCAGCACCAGGTCAGAACTGGCGGCCTCTGGCCCTTCCTTGGGCCTCAGACACCAGAGTCTCTCTGCCCTCTGACCCAAGTGGGTTTCCTTCTGCTGGTGAGCATGGGCTGCCCTGGCAGGAAGCATAGCCAGGACTAGCAGGAAGGGAGAACTCTGAGAGCTGGTCCAGTTCCCACACCTCCTGCCATGCTGGTAGCTGTTGCAGAGCTGGCCTCTAGAAGGCAGACTCCTGGCCAGAAGACCTGAGGATGGTGGTGTGGATAGAGAGAGTGGTGACCCCGCAACCCTTCCCCACGCCTCTGCCCTCCCCTCTCACCTCCCCAGGACCCCCAAAGACAAGTATGCTGGGCTCTAGCCAAGTAAAGGCTTTCCTGGAATTTCTGGAGTCACCAAGTATCTTTCTTCTCCTCTTCCCTCAAGATGGTTTCCAACTGGGAATTGATGGGAAATTCCTGACACCTCCACCGCCCAGGATAGATGCCTGAAGCATACCCCGTCCCCCTGTCCCCCTAGTAAGAGAGGCACAGCTGACGCTGTGGAAAGAAACCCAGATGCTGGGGGACCCTCAGCCCATGGACAGTGCTATGACTCTCAAGTCTTTGGCCTCAAGGACCCCACAGAAGGCAGAACTTGTGCTATTTCCGTGGTCTCAGCACCCTCCAGGGTGGGTCCCAACCACCCCCAATGACTTTCCAACCTTGATCAGTTGGAAAGTCATTGATCCAACCTGGAACAGCCCTTCTCCTCTGCACCAGAGACCTCTCCTCACCATCCAGAAATACAGAGGACCCTCCCTGTTCGGCCTGGGTATGCCATCTCATCCCGTGACGGGGAAGGTTATATGGCTAGGACCCTTGAGTTCAGGCACACCTGAATGCGGGTTCCATTTCTCTCACTCTTGTCACCATGCCATCATCCACATTATTTTGACCAAAGACAGTGCAGAGTACAGAGTGTGACCAGGTTGCAGATAGATGAGGGAACCCCACCTCACTACCCCCAGATCCCCCAGGGTCTGCATTCACTGTTGGGGAACCACTACCTGGAGCATCCATTCATTTACTCACTCAGAGTCACAAAGGTGCCAGCACTGTGGGTCCAGGGGATCATACACAGTCTTTGTGCTTGAGGGACCCCCAGCATGCTAAGAGAGACTGTCATGCAGATAGGAAATTCTGGAACAGTGCACCCAGGGCCACTGCAGAGGCCTGACCAGGTGGAGGAAGATGGGGTTGGTGTCAGAGTTTTCCAGGCCAGTGAAGATGGTGCACGCACATGTGTCCACCTCAAGGCCACATGGACTCCCCCACCTGCCAGAGGGGACCGCATGTCACTGCTGGCCAGGAATCTGAGTTCTGCACCTCTGGCTTCACTGTCGGCTCAGATTCCTGTCCCAGTTCCCCCTGCTCCCCGATCTTCCACTGGGACCACTTCGTCTTTACCTTGTCTTTGTCCCAGCTCCCAGGCCCTCCTTCCTTCCCCGGGAGCTGCAGCCTTGGTCCCTGCATTCTTGACTCTCAGGGCTCGAGGAAAGGGTGAGGAGGGGTGGACCGAGGTTGGAGTCTGCCATGAGAAAAGGAGAAGAGAAGAGGAGTCGGCCTTCAGACAAACGCCAGGATGAGACTCAGCCGTGATGCCGCCAGCCGGCTGGTGGACTGGCAACAGCCATGTGTGGATCGGTCGCCCATGCCACAAGTGCAGCAGCCAGCAGGGTGCTGGGAAGCATGTGTCCTTCAAACAGTCTAAGTGAGTGCCCACAGCCCCACCCGAGGAGGGGCCACCAGTGCCCCAGCCTTGAAGAAGACACTCCCAATGAACTGTTCACATGAAGAACCTCTCCTCCGAGGCCGACTGATGGCCACCAGGGGGTCACCCTGGCGAGGCATCAGAGCCCACAGCCGTGTCCTTGTGTTAAGTGCCCAGGCCTTTGGAGGAACAGGAAGAGAGGAGATGGAGCTGCAGAGGAAGGAATTTCCAAAGCCGGTTCATCTTGTGTTGCATCAGCAAAGCTTGGCTCCGTCCCAGTGTCAGGGCCACTGGATCCTGCTGCCACCCAGGGTCTGCCTGGATCCACTGGCCCCTGGGCAGGGCTCACTCTTTTGGCCTCTCTCTGTGCTGAGCTTGCGGTGCAAGCAGAAGGCGGTGCAGGCTTTTTGGAGGATGGGAAGAGTGGGAGATGCTCCAGATGCGACGCTGTCCCTAGCCCACCAGGAACTGGCTCCTGGCCTTGGGTTGGAGGACGGGCAATCAGTGCATGATGGCTGGATCAAGTCAGAGATGGGAAGGACACAGAAGCAAAGGAAGGGCGTGTCCCTGTTGCTGTTTCCTTTGTCCCTGTTTGAGAACTGGAAGCAAAGATCGCCTTTTTAAAAGGAGGGGAAAGAAAGCCCCACTGAAAAGGTGGCGAGACGGAGGAGGCCGCTGGAACTGCTGTGATAAATGACAGGAAGGCACCGTCTCCCCTCAGGGGCAGCCAGTATGCAGTTACGCTCTGGGGTTTCTCGGCACATCTTACAATTTTACAGTCATTGAACCCGTTCATCAGCCTGTGTCCTTGGCTGAGCTGGAGATGGGGAGCCGAGGGGCGCCTTCCTCACTGTGCCCTGGCCCCACCTGTGGCCTGTCCCACTCACCCCGTCACCCTGTTTTCCCGCCTCACCCTCGGCTGCTCCACTTTAGGGCTTTGGGAGGGGGGCACGAGCCCCTTACGCCCCTGCCTCATCAGTGCCTTCCCGTGGCCCCTAGGCACCTGGCCTCCCAGAATGTTCATAGCGCCTCTGGATGGGATGGGGGCCAGTTCTGGCTGTCCTGCTGGTTGGCGTGCAGCCCACTGCCCTCTGCTGGTCAAAATAGAGCATTGCATGCCCCATCCAGGCTGGATTCCCAAATCCAGGATGACTCCATTAGTCACGCAGACCCAAGAGGAGCACAGGTGTGTGGAGAGCACTGGGAGGCAGTCTAATGGAGGCACCATGCCCACCCTGACTGCACGGTTCCACCGAAAAGGAAAGAGCCGCACCTGTTGTGGCCAGAAGGTGGGGCTTAGTGGATGCTTGGACGGTTTCGCTTCAGTTCCGGGGTAAGATCGACTCCTCTGCAGGTCTAACACTGACTGGCTTTCTGCAAAAAAGATCGGGAGCAAGGAGGACGGCAGCAGAACTGGGAAACTGGGCTGCTGGGCATCTCCAGGTCCCTAGGCTTGGATGGGGGTGCCCCCAGTGTGTCCCTGTCAAGTGCTCTGCATTGCCCGTCACTAGGGATCTGATGCACACCAGACCAGAAGTCTGCAGAGTCCTGTGATGCACCCTCCTGGCCCTACCAGCTGTGCCTACCGTGGACATCCCCTGCTAAAGCTCCAGCTCCTGCGGATGGGCCCCTGGGAGTTGGGGATCTCCAAGGAGTCGCTGTCCAGTTTACTGAAGCTTGAGGGCACATGCCCTCTGAGAGCCCTGGCTACTCATCCCCTTTCGGGGGCCCCGAGGGAGAAGCCAGATCCACCTGCAGCCCTACACCTTGGGGATATATGGGGCTCAGAAAACGCACACTCGTGAGAACTGGGCCAACACATGTCAAATGGCCAATGTGCTGAGGCCGGCCATGCGGCGCACACCCAGGGAACACGAGGATGTCTTGGGATGTGCCCCGTGTGCACGCTTCTCAGTGCAGCAAAGCAGAGCTGCACCTAGGGAATATCAGAACAGACATTGCACAGCCCTTGCAACCCCCCAGACCCCACTCCACAGCCTTTGCAACTCCCCAGACCCCACTGCCAGCTCGCCACCTGAGTTCTGGGAGCCATCGCCAAGGAAGAGGCTGGGGCATGGGGAGGTTGTGTGCCCGACCTCCCTAAGCAGCCCAGGAAGTGGTGACCTCCCTCTGGTCACCTAAGGGCACCTGCTATCCTGGAGCCTGTTCAGAGTCTCCTGAGTGCAGGAATGCGGGGGAGTGGCCTGAGATGGTCACCAAGGGCAGCCACTCGACAGGGGTTTAGGGACCAACCTCCAGCCATTTTGCCATAGTGTGGCTTTGGGCAAGGCTCCACCCATCTGGGTTCCATTTCCTCCACTGCAGAATAAAGCCTCGGGCACAGTGCCCTCAGGCTGCCCACCCACTCTCCTGACTCTGGGAGGCTTAAGAGCCAACGACAGACTCCCACCTGAAAGTAGCTTACACATCCGGGAGCATCCTGGAGACCTGTGGCAACATTTCTCCTCCCACCTCCCCAGCCGACTGCCTCTGCTCCACAGACTACCCAGGAGACCGTGTCATCAGCACTTCCATTTGCACTGCCTACAGTGTGGGCTTCCGGGCACCTCAGCATCCTCCTCTGCTGCTCCAGAAAGAATCGGGTTGGCTGGGACCAGAAACCTGCATACCATCAGCGGGCGTCCTATCCCAGAAGCAGACCCAGAGACAAGGATGCAAAAGTGCAAGCAGTTTATTTGGGAGTTGATCCCACAGTAACCTCCAGGGGCAGTAGGGAATGGAAGCGGGAAAGCAAAGGAAACCCGTAGAAAGTGTGTTATCAACCTGACGTCCCTGCAGCTGCTGAGCTCAGCCACCCTGGAGGACCTTGGCAGTGAGAACCCCATGGCAGGAGCTGGGCGTCCATCCACCCACCTGTGTCTCTGGCCACCAGGAGCCTCTCCGGTGCCACCCACTTGCCGACGGGCTAAGCAGAACAGGTCACAGCGTGGCATCTGCAGTTTGGGTGTGTTTGGGGCTGACCTGTGGAAGGCCTCGGGCTGGGCCCAGGTGAGCTAATGGCCACTGCACACAGTCCCATGTGTGACCACCTGGCCAACGTTGCATGCCTGCCCCATCTGCTTTTCCTCTGCGGATGCCGCCAGGACTGAGCCAGGCTGAAGACCAGCCTCGCCCTGAGCTCATGGCCTGTCCACTGAAGAAGTCCCCACAAGAGCAGCATGGCACAGGCTACAGGGTGTTGTCTCAGCCCTCTTCTCACGGGGAGCAGGGCGGGGACTTGCACGTGGGTGGCTTTTCCCAAGAACCAAGTCCTTGGGAGCCCATCTGCCCACCAAATAAGGACTAACAATAATGGCCTGAACTTGGCCGCCCCATGCCTTGGGAGAGGACCCTGGAGGCAACCTTCAGAAGTTCTGGTAGCAGCATTGGACCTAGGACAAGCACGAGCCTCAGGGTGTGGGGGGGGGGGGGTCACACTGCAAAAGGATGTGGTATGTGCCCTCGGACCGGCGCTCCAGTCTGTCTCCACTTTAACATCAAGCCCTGAAAGCCAGAATAGCCCTCATGCTCCCAGAACTTTCTCGAGAACCATGTAGTCATTGGGGCTGAGAGCCCACTGAGATTCGACTTCTGTGGACAGGCCTGAGCTGAGGGAGCAGAGAACAGACCAGGCCAGGAGGTTCTGCACGGGGGTGGCAGGAGGGAGGTGGCCTCACAGGCACTGTGTGGGCCAAGGCTTGGAGGCGGGACCTCTCAGACGCAGCTGCTCCTGTGCTATTTCTCGTGGGAAGTGTCTGCCCAGATTCCCTCCAGGTCCCAGGCCCGAGGCCAGGAGCAACAAAGGGGTCGGGCGTGTCTTGATTCCTGGGGGCAGCCTCCACAGCCTGGTCCTCTCCCCACAGCAGACAGATGAGGCGGCACAGACGGACAGCCAGCCGCTCCACCCCTCCGACCCCACAGAGAAGCAGCAGCCCAAGCGGCTACATGTCTCCAACATCCCCTTCCGGTTCAGGGACCCCGACCTGCGGCAAATGTTCGGGGTGAGTGTTCGCGACCCCGTCCATCCCGCCCTCTGCACCCGGCCCAGCTCCAGGGCCGTGCCCCACAGCCCCTGGCCCCTCCCCATGCCTGCTCCCCTGGTTTCCTGCCTCCCACTGCTTGAGTTGCAGGGGTCCCAGAATTCTTTCCTTCTGATCCGAACCTGCGGGGGGGGGAGTGGAGGCCTCAAGCTCTGGGAAGAGGGATCTGTTGTGACTTCTCCTCCAACTCCAGCCTCCCCACTTCCTGGCCATAAGTCTACCCACCACCCTTGTGCCACCTGTCCTCAGGGGCCATATAGAGTCCCCAGAGGGCCAGCAGCCTGTTTGGCTATGACTCTCCTGTTCCTGCCTTCTGGCTCCTGTCTCCTGAGCTGAGGGCCCTTGGAGGGCAGCCCAGCCTTCTGGCCACCCACAGAGCAGCGGCCTCAGCCCCGGTCTCTGCTGTGTGCCTTATGGCACTGGGCACTCACCCTCTCTGGGCCTGTGTCCTCCTGGCTCCCCAGGTGGGGCAACTTGAAAATGAACAATTGGTGGGGAGCAAGCTAGGAACAAGTCCCTCCCTGGACTCTACCGATCTGTTCCGAGCTTTTGCCCTGGAGGGTTCCAGCCGGTTGTGAAAACTCAAGGGGTTGTCCTTGAGTCCTGCAGTCACTTTATTCTGCTGTTGGACTTCAGCACCTAGCAGGTGCTGATGGCCACAGGTGCAGGGAGATGGCGGGGGCGGGGGGACTGCCGAGTAATGGGTGAGCAAGCAACAGCCCTCCGGGCTTCTAGGCCTGCCTCAGCCACAGAGGACCATGCAGTCTATCCATGTGTTTGGTCCCCTCCAGTCCCACCCTCCTCCACTGCCTGCCACTGCACCCATCACCTCTGCTGCACAGCCAGGCAGCTCTGGCTCCTGGACCCCAGCCCTCTCCCGCTCCACCCCCACCCAGCTGCAAGTTGTCAGACAGAGGCACCTCAGAGGGGCCCTGGGATGGGCAGGTCTCAGCACCTGTCCCTGACGTGGCCCCCAGATACTCACTCCTTATCTTGGAGACCAGGCCTCATCGGATTTGGAGCTGAGACTGGCTGAGGGTGGGCAAGATGAAGAATCATCAGACATGAGGACTCTGTCCCCTCTCGGATCTGGGGCCTGGGCAAGCTGCCAGACCTCTCTGGGCCTGGGGCCCCTTAGAGCAGCTGACATTTTGGAGCTCTGGCCGACTGATGTCCTCGATGTGCATCCACTCACTGAGTCCCTGCAGAATGAGGGAGCCTTCACCCATCTGCTCACTGGGTCCCTGCAGGATGAGGGGGGCCATCCTCTTTCAGCTCACTGGGTCCTTGCGGGATGGGGGGGAACATAACTTGTCAGCTCACTAGGTCCCTGCAAGACGGGGGTACCATCACCTGTCAGCTCATGGGGTCCCTGCAGGACATGGGGGCCATCACTGATCCATTCACTGGGTCCTTGCAGGATGGGAGAACCATCACCCATCTGCTCACTGGGTCCCTGCAGGAAGGGGGAACCATCACCTGTCAGCTCACTGGGTCCCTGTAAGACGGGGGTACCATCACCTCTCAGTTCATGGGGTCCCTGCAGGACATGGGGGCCATCACTGTACCATCCACTGGGTCCTTGCAGGATGGGAGAACCATCACCCATCTGCTCACTGGGTCCCTTCAGGATGGGAGAACCATCACCTGTCAGCTCACTGGGTCCCTGTAAGACGGGGATACCATCACCTGTCAGATCACTGGGTCCCTGCAAGACAAGGGTACCATCACCTGTCAGCTCACGGGGTCCCTGCAGGACATGTAGACCATCACCAATCCATTCATTGGGTCCTTGCAGGATGGGGGAACCATCACCCATCTGTCCACTGGGTCCCTGCAGGATGGGGGGACCATGACCTTTCAGCTCACTGGGTCCCTGCAGGACGGGACACCAGCTTGCAACTGTTCACTTTTCAGCTTCTGGCAGAGTTGGGGTTTTGTTGCAGTCTGACTTTTCCCTTCCCCACCCCACCCCCGCCTGTGGGGCTGTTTGGAGGTGAAAGAGGCTTCAGGGCGGGTGCCTGGGGACCTCACGGCCATTGGTTGGGGACCTGGTTCACAGGTTCATAGCCTCACATACCAGTGAGAGAGACAGGCCACCCCATGGGGACTCCTGGCCAGTGACAGGACAGGATGGAGCAGGCAGAGCATCTTGGCCTGGCTGGCCCACGTGTCCCGCACAGGCAAGGGTCAGGGTTTGAGTCACTGCTGCTCTGCACCCCACACCCTCCCAGCCCCAAGGCCCAGGAGGCAGGTGGTGCAGGTTCCCAGGGGGCCTGGGCATAAGTTCCTCCCTCCTCCTATTCTTTCCACTCCCCCCACCAGTCTTCCCTTGCCGGACATCCTCCTCCCCATCTCAAGGCGGCCCAAGGGTCTCATCTCCCAGCCAGGGATCCTGATCTCCGGTGGCCTCCACCCCCATTTCCCCATGTCAGCGCTTTTCCTTCCCTGTGGCACTTAGGGGCTCACGCCCCACCCCTTCCATCGAAGAAGGGCCTCTCAGCAGACCTTTACTCTTTAGTGTCAACCGGGGGTGGCTGCAATGTCTTGGACATCCCATCCCCATGGTGGCCGACTCCCAGCAGGGAGAGGAAGGGACAGTGGTGATGCCACACCCATCCCTGTCCCCCAGCCAGCAGATGAGGCAGTGTCTTGGCAGGAAAGACTCCCCAAGGAAGAAGACAAGAGCCTCCAGAAGAAGGTGGGGAGGGCCGTCCCTGCCCCCCGTACTACACCCGGGGCTCCTCTTCCTCCTCTTCCACAGGAGGTGGGAGGGGTTCCCAGGCAGAGGACAGTCTCAGGAGTGGAGTAGGGGTGAGCCCGACCTCGATCTTAACCCACCCTCTCCTGTCTCCCCCACCCCCCTCTCTGTCTCTGTCTCTGCAGCAATTCGGAAAAATTTTAGACGTGGAGATCATTTTTAACGAGCGGGGCTCCAAGGTGGGTGGCGCACGGAGCTGCCGCCGTTACAGCGCCGCTGTAGGTCCCGCCAGGCTAACGTGGGAAATGTGCGTTTCCTTCCTGGAGAGCTTCGCGCCCGAGGACCCCTGAGCGACACGGGTGCTTGTATTCCCCGCTCTTCCGCCCCCA